ATAAAAGCGTCTGCCAAATGCATAAACATAAACATAAACATAAATCAGCGTCTGGGGAGGAGAGACCAGCTCACCTCTCATGGTGGGACATCCCGGAGTACATGTTCTCCACCAGGGCCACGGACCGGAGGAAATGCTGGGTGGCGATCAGAACCCTGAAATGAGTCCAGAACCAGAGACCACAGAAACAGAGAGAATGATTCCTCCCCCAAAACAGTCACTTCCATTCAGAGGGAAAGAAAAATCCCATCCACAAACTGAAAATCTCTTTCTTTTGGCTTCCAAACGTCTCCAAATGTATCCAAAATAAACTTTTCTGTCATCACTTTAGATGCTAAACAGATGAGAGTTTAACCCTGTAATGCCAAATGTGTCATATTTGATACGTACGGTTTCTGAAATGTTTTGCTTCTGACACCTTTTGCATCATTTAATGGTAAAAACTTTGCTCAAAATCCTATTGTACACAATCAGATACACCAGGATATGTTGTATATTTCTACTCTTTTTCATGTTCCTATTAATGTGATTTTTTTTAATGGTTTGTTCATGTAATTTTTCATGTGAGGACCCCAGGAAGACTAGTGGCCATTTATTTGGCAGCTAATGGGGATCCTAATAAAACTACCACTACTACTAATAATAACATGCTCCAAAGGGGCACAGCTGGAGGAAAGAGGTTCCTTCATTTAGTCCAGTGTTTTTCAACCTTTTTTGAGCCAAGGTACAGTTTTTCATTGAAAAAATCTCGAGGCACACCACCAACCAAAAATGTTAAACAAATCTGTAGCCGCCTATAGTAACACTATAGTTATTCTTATTTTATTCTTATCTTAAGTGTCTTGAATAGGAATCAAATAAACACAAAAAAAAATTGTTTATCATATTTTATATTTCGTCTTTCAAATTGCACTTAACATGTCCACTTCAATATACAAAATTATATACAAAATCTAGTCATAAGGAATTATTACATGACACCAGTCACTAGAACAGCACAGACACTCAAAAATGGCATATTATTTGCAGAAAATTAATTCCTTATCAAAAAACCTTTTTAGACCAATTAGGTGAAATAGGATGATTTTTTTTACGGCACACCTGACCATCACTCACGGCACACTAGTGTACCGAGGACCAGTGGTTGAAAAACACAGATTTAGACACAGATGTCCAAACTGAGATCCATCGTGGACAACACCTCTCACCCCCTGCATCGAACTGTACAGGAGCTGAGCAGCTCTTTTAGTAAAAGACTTAGACACCCTGTGTGTAAAAAAGAGCGATACCGCAAGTAATTCATTCCTGCTGCTACCAGACTGTACAACTCTGCACTTTAACAACTGCTGTGCAATTGTGTTATATATATTGACCTGTGTAATATGTGTACTGCGTGTGAGCCATCAATGATTGTATATATTTTAATCACCCAAATCTCTACGTGTGTTGCTTCCTTGTATATTTGTTTGCTTTTGGTGTACTTTATGCACCTTTTCCTCCTTTTGAACTGTAACCGATGTGTGACCAGTGAATTTCTCCACTGTGAGATCAATAAAGCTCTTATCTTATCTTATCTTATCTTAGACCGCATGTTTTCTCTTCCTGTTCTGGATCACTTCCTGGTCTTTACTTACGTCCAGTCCACGTCCGGCTGGGTCCTGCAGAGCTCCATCACCCGGAGTGCCAGCTGGATATTCTCCGGCTTTGACAGGTCCTCCACCCTGGCTTCATCCAGACACGTGTGGAGCACCATGGAGGTGTAGTTCACCACCTTCTCGTCGTCCCCACCCAGCAGCTGCCTGTGCACACACGTCCGGGCTCAAACGGCACATCCCGTTGCCACGGGCGACTGAACTGAAGGGGAACCTACAGGAAGAGGTCGGGGAAGCCCAGGCGCCACACGTCGTCTTTGCAGAGCTGGTTTCCCACCGCCAGATTCCCCAGGAACTGGATCCCACAGCGGAGAGCTGCAGACCAGAGCAGTTTATGATTCAAATTTCTCATTTTAAACATTTGGAAAATAATCCAGCAGCTTTTGGACTGGAAGTAGGCTCGTCCCGATCCGATATCTGGAGGAGAAAATGCAGATCCAGACTCCAGATCAAGTTTTTCTTAACAATCCGATCCCACACAAGCATTAGCATTAGCATTAGCATCTCCTAACCCACAGGTCTGTGTCCTAACCATTAAGTTGTTATCAGAGTAAATCCCTGTTCAACATGAGTCTGACAACTAAGTAAGTAGATAAATAACTTTAAACTTTAACTTTAGACTTTAACACATGCTCTGATAGGCCGGGATCGGTATCAGATCGGAAGTGAAAAAAGCTGAATCGGGACATCTATACTCTATAGACCAGAGTAGGCTTGTCCTGATCGGATGTGGATATTCACAAAAAAATGCAGAAAAACTGCGAGAAAATGCAGATCCAGACTTCCCATCCAGTTTTTTTTAAAGTCAGATCCCACATGAGCGTTATTAGCATTAGCATCTGTAACCCACAGGTCTGTGTCTTAACCATGAAGTTGTTATCAGAGTAAATCCGTGGTCAACATGAGGCTGACAACTAAGTAAGTAGATAAATAACTTTAAACTTTAACACATGCTCTGATAGGCCGGGATCGGATAGGAAGTGTAAAAAGCTGGATCAGGACATCTCTAGTTTGAAGGCATCCCAACAAAAAAGGCTCCATTTGTGCCGGTTTTGGAGGGTTTCCACCAGAGATGTGACTCTCTTTGTTCAATAGTGCATAAATAACTATCACAGCTTACATTTGGGATGTATTTATTTTTTTGGCTTTAAAAGCTTTTAATGGATTTTTTTTAAAGAGGTAAAAAACCCTAAATCACCCATAAGCATTAGCATTAGCATCTCCTAACCCACAGGCCTGTGTCCTAACCATTAAGTTGTTATCAGAGTAAATCCCTGTTCACCATGAGTCTGACAACTAAGTAAGTAGATAAATAACTTTAAACTTTAACACATGCTCTGATAGGCCGGGATCGGAAGTGAAAAAGCTGGATGGGGACATCCCTGAGCTGCACACCTACGTTCACACGCAGCATCCTCCATCCCAGAGTTCAGCGTCTGGAGAACGCTCAGCAGCTTCAGGGACACGTCGATGAATCCAAGCTCCCTAAGAGGTGAAACATAAGTCCAGAGACATGAAGATATGCTGTCTGACTTTCATATTAGAACCTAATCAAGAGGATCTTCTCATCCTTAAAGAGACCAGTACGATGCCTTGGGATGTTTAACCCAACTCAAAGCATCATTAGCAGCCCTTTAAGGGGTTCTATTTAATCTAAATTGGGCGGAAAACGTCTCAAACCTCCAGGACATCAGCCCCTAAGCCCCAATTAAGACAACAGCTCATGACATAAATACTCTATTTAGGTCTGAAACCCTACGAAAACATAGAAGCAGGGTGTGAATAACCAGAATATTTGGATTTTCCCAAATAGTGCTGCTGTGTTTTGGCTTCAATATCATAAAATGAATAAAAACACAGTGATTTATATTATGTTATTTATCCAAGCTTATGCTTATCTCATTATAAGAGCTGCTATGGGCAATATAGTCCCACAATAATGACCTGATTCACTAAATACTAATATTGTGGGACTTTCTTTTTAACCCTGTAAAGCCTGATCTAAGAAAAATAGGACGAATATTGGATTTTTTTAGTCTGAAGTCTTTCTTTGGCCCCTCAACAACATATGAAGAAAAAAAAACTGAAATTATTTTGATCAAATTAGCGTGCAATAAGTCAAAACTATATTTTGGTGTAGTTTTCTACTAGCTGTCATCAGGTATATCTGAATGTGTACAACGGGGGTTTGAGCAAAGCTTTTACCACTGAATGATGCAAAAAGTCTCAGATCCAAAAGACTTCAGAAACCGTATGAATCAAATATGAGACATTTGGCATTATAGGGTTGGAAGAAGCTGTACAGATCGGACCGTTTGCAAAAAAATGAGTGGATTTCTGTCAGCTAAGGGGGTAGAAGAGAAAAACCAGGCATCTGGCTCCTCTGTGCCTGAATACCTGAGCAGTTTCTGGTTGCGTGCACTCTGGACACACGAGTTCCTCTGGGCCCTGAAGCACTCGGCAGTGAGCTGGAGATGCAAGGCGTCCACCACCTCGGCGTCTGTGTGGGCTGCCTGCAGCTCTCCAGACAGCCTGCTGAGGACCTGGAGCAGGCTGGAGAAAGCCTCCTCCTCCACAGCATCCCTAAGAGCAGGAAGTGGGCCAGAAAGGAGGAGAGAGCAGGGAGTGGTTCTGAGAAAAGGGAGCTCACCGGGGAATAGCTCATAGCTTTGGTTAAAGCTTTAGCTGGAATAAAAACTAGCTCACACAACTATGTAACTGTGCATTCATTGCTTGGGAGTCTTCCCAAGGGATCAATAAAGTACAGTCTAAGTCTAAGGTTACTTTCTGTTTTGTGAGCACAAACAAGCACAAAAATGTCAAGAAACGCGACAGTTAAGGGAAAACGCCTCAAATAGAGTTTAGTTTTACATTTTATTATTAAATGTTTTTATCAAACAACACCAATTGAGCCTCTTGTTCATGTCTGGGAGACATAATTTGGTCCGTTTCCTCTGGAGGAGATGAGATAACATGTTACAGTTAACGGTGAGC